TTTCACCATTATAAAGCTACGTTATCATTGAGTAACAAAGGCTATGTTTTATTGTTTCACAGGGACGAAGCCGCGACCAACAGCTAGTCTTACATTTTCTCGAACTCTAACAAACACCCATCCATCCATCTAAACTTTCGCATTTATAATATAAGTAAAATTTCTACGTAATACATGAACTATGATTACACAATTCATTGTTTCAAATTAATTTTCTTTTATTCTACCACCGTTCCTTAAGTATGTGTAATATTACTGAGCCGTACGACCTTAAAAGTAATTTATTTGTCGCCCGGTGATATATTTAGTGGTGTCCATTACCTCGGTTCACGACCGAACATTATTCACGGCCATTCTACTTTTTGCCCGAAAGGTTTTATTATCCGCTACATCAGGTTTTTCATTTCTAGGCATTTCAAATTAGTTCCAATTACATCACTGTTGTATGCAATTTTATTTCAACCGCCGAAGTCTTGTGTAGAAATGTATTTTTTCTTTTTTTTAATTTGAACTAGCTGTTCCCGTGCGACTTCACCAATTGTCAAAAATGTGTCAAATTATCAATTGCAAATGTCAAAGTGACATTACGATGACAAACCATGGCAACCTTGCTTCCTTAATGTTGGCAGCAACTTGTGGTCTCTTTCCCTCATTGGGGTTTTTATCCAAAATATTTACCCCCTAAGTTTAATGGCGTGAAAATATATAGCCTAAAGCGTGAGGCAAGTGTAGGGCTATTTGTTAAAAAAAATATTCAAAAATATACTGTAATTGCTGACATCTTAGGCAACAAAGAAGTGTGTGTTTACACTTTATTATAATAGTATAGAGTATAGAAATAGATGAGTATGAAAGAGATAACAATATCTGAACGACCAATCTATATCAATTTTAGTTTCTGTATAGTTTGAGTCAGTTTTAGAGATTTTAATTATCCGACGCTATATCTGTTGAAATTTTACCCGTACCTGCAGCGACAACGCCTGGGATTTGAAGTTTCAACTTCCATTCAATAACTTTTGTTTACTACAAGTATATATTGAATTTGTTTTACTTAAGTGGTTTTTATTTATGTTCTAACATAACTACAAATTAATATATTATCTTTTTTCGAGACCCAGAAAAATGTTAACGATTTCGATAACCTATGCTTTGTAACATATTCTGTGTAAGAAATATATCAACAAAATAACAAATAAATTTGCATTTAGATGCTAAGAATCCAGAGGTATCATTTAAAATAGAAGATTACTTGAAAATTACGCTCATTTTCAATTTACATTTTCATTCCACTAATTACGGAATTTCCCTTTTCATTTCAAATACTTACTGTTGTTTCTTCGTCGGAATTAAGTTCTTGGATTAATGCTACAAAGTTTCTTAACGATTAAGTAAAGCCTATTTATTTATCATTTACATTTATTTTCAGATGATATTTCTGTCACTTGTACCGTTTGAACATTTCATATTAACTATAAATAAGTTTTCGTCCGTCAAGTATCTACAAAATATTTACTAAGTCACAAAATGGTTCACCAACAATGTAACAATCATACTCATATTATGAATGCGAAAGTTTAGATGGATGGAAGTTTGTTAGAGTTTGCCTAAACGGCTAAACGGATTTCAATGAAATTTGGTATAGATGAAGAGGATAGTCTGAAAGAACCCATAGGCTACTTACATTGTTTTTTTCAATTCCGCGCGGACGAAGTTGTGGGTGAAAGCTAGTGAGTTATATAAAATGATGTTGGCATTTGTGTTGCAGGAGAGTAGTTAAAACCTGCCACAAGCTTGAAGGAACAATGGGTATACTAGCACACACTTTATAAAGTTTTAAAACGTTGACGCGTCCGTGAATCTTGAAAAACTTACAATAATGAGATGTCTATAGGAAAAAAGCGATATGCAAAAATGTTACAATAAAACATACGATGGACTTGGAGGTCGGTCTAGCGATCTAATAAACACTTTTAGATTCTATCCTTTTTATAAAGCTACAATAATTCTATAATAACCTGTGCTATGAGCAATAAATCAAGATTTTTTACATTCCACTCAACTGTTAGGTCGCTTAGGTATCGAAATGTGTGCAACAGAAAAAGCAAAGTAGGAGTTTTTGTTTCAAAGAAAAAAAGATAATTTATATCTCATTGCTATTATACAAGGCGGCGTCCGTTATTGGAATTCGCGTCCCGACATAACTCACCGCTAAAGTTTTTTCCATCAATTTTCATATTGGATTTCATATCCATTTTCTGTTTGATTACTTTTTATTTAACTGGTAGTAGAACAGTGGTTGGATAGTGCTTTTTACGAAATTCGAAATCACATGTTTCATATTAACTTTTTAATTATATTAGTCTACGAATAATATAACGATATCGAATGGATGCATATACCGTTTTACTATCTTTCGCCCGCGACTCCGTCTGCTTGGAATTAAAGAAAAAGAAAACAAAAGTAAGTAGCATATATGTTCTTCGATCCTTTACATCTCCGTTCAGCAGTTTAGCTTACAAACTCTAACAAACTTACTTGTAAACTTTCACATTTATAGTATTAGTAAAAAGTAACATGGTGAAAGTGGGAAACTTACTTTATAAGGATTCGTTTATTTCGCTTACTTTAACAGTAGTTACTATCGTGTTTCTCGCGCATGGTTACACCAAAACACGGTAACAGTTAATATTATTAAGAGCCTGTCCCACCACTGGCTGACAGAGGGTTAGATAGCTTAAAAATAACGTCACTGTCAGATACGGGAACAAAATGCGATATTTCCATCACAGTAGGACAGGCTGTTAATATTATTTTTTTATTTAAAAAATAATCATAGTTGAGAAAGTACATTACCAGTGCACGTATACAAGGTATTAGATGTAAAATTTAATCTGTGGCAACATTTTTCTATATTTTCTCTCTGTTCTTTCAATGGCTGTCGGAGTGCTACTTGTTTTATTGTATTCGTTATATTTTTGTTATAAGAAGCTCAAATAAAGTATTTGAAACAGAATATCTAATACAAGGTAAGATCATTATAAACTTTCGTAACATTGTTGGCAAACTTCGTCTCACGAGCATACTTCCGTGTGTTTGTGTACGTGCATCTAATGTGTCCCTTCGCCGTGAAACTTTAAAGGTACGCACACAGAGGTAATGGTTGCGCTCATTAGCGCCGCCCTGAAGAGCTCTTAGTGCATTCAAAGATAGCGCGTAAGTAATAATGTATGTGAGCATTGTAAGAAAGAGTTACTCCTTAGACTGTTTGCTCATAACGTAATTAAAGTTTTATTTTTTGACTGTACTTTGTTACTGAGTTCATTGACGCTGTGTTGGTGTTAAGTATAATATCTTATCTTACTAATATTATAAATGCGAAAGTTTAGATGGATGGATGGATAGATGGATGTTTGTTAGCGTTTGTAGCCTAAATGGCTGAACGGATCTCCATGAAATTTGGCACACATAAAAGGAAGCCAACGTGTCACATGAAACAAATGAAAGTTTCATGAGTAAAAATAATTACAACTAAAAACTCATTATCATATACACTTATAGGCTAACACATTATGAGAAAAAAAATACATAACGGCAAACAGAAAAACTAAAGTAAAACACACTACATAAGAATAAATACTCCTTAAAGTGTATGATTTATGAAATAATACAGTTTAATTTTAATTTTCATTAATGAATCTGAATCTTTTAAATATATTAATATTCAGTGGTATTCCTTGTTATACGTGCTACGTAACCTTTTGGTGTTTCTGTTTATCCAGTAGCTTTTTTATGAAGAATAAACTCTATTATCATGATTGGAAAGACTTGATATATTCGTTTACTAGTTTGTAAATGTACAAAATACTTTTAGATTATCTTCTGTCCTATTTTAATTAAACAACGAAACCAACTGTTAATCATTAACATTCACAACATAGCACTAAGAATGGAAGGGTCAAATATTTAAGGTAAATTAAAGCGCGAAATTTTCAAGTTGTAACGCATTGAGAGAATTTCATTTTCGTTTAATTCTTGCGGCGAAATAACTGTCGGGTCGGCCGTCTCTTGAATGCTGAGGGGAAAATGCTCAGTTAGTTAAAAATTAAAATATTTCACATCATTGAAAGATTCGACAGTTTTTTGTAGTGTTAGTAACAAGAATTATTTATTCCTTGGCTACTCTACAGAGAATGTGTTCAATTTTATTCTTGTAGAGTAAATCTTTGAAGAAGATTATCGTAAATATTTTCTACAAAATCTCATATGTTGAAATTATTGCTGCTTTAGAACTGTAATTACGTACATAAATACGCATAAAATAGGACTAGAAGAAAGATCTACGAGGGAACACGTGCTTACGTTAGAGAACAAAAACTTAATTTCTGCCGCAGTAAAGATTTCGCCAACGTTCACAGTTTTATATTCTCACAAATTGCAACCGAGAGGAATAATAAGGCGCACGTAACCAACATAATGATGCCTGTAGGCACGCTCATTGTATGCACACACTGCAACGAATATGAAAGCAAGTGAAATATGTGCTACGGATGTGGAATACCTTAAATAGTCTGATTTTTATAACAAAATAATGTTGTTCACTATAGTTGTATTCATACTACAAGTAATGGATCCTAAAAATTTACATAATAAATCGACTGTAATCATTCCTATATGAACTATGGTAGAGTCATAAGCAGTGTGATCTGTACATCACGACCATATAGAAACTTACTAAAAAAATGCTATGAGGAAATTAAAATAACTCTACTACCACGTTAGCTTATTTTAATGTCGCTTAATTTTAATGTAATCGGTGAGAATTAATAGAATTTAAAAACAAGACTTCGTTAGTGAAAAAATAACAGTACAATCATCAGTATCATCATGACCAGTTCACTATATGTTCCCACCGAGGGACTCGGAGCCTATCCTAAACAGTACAATACTAAAGTTTAATTCTATGTTATATTGTTTTGTGCAATTACATTGTAGATTATTTAATTTTGTTGATTTTGTATATTTCTTATTACAGTCAGCAGTGAATAAGCGGTTTTCATAATCTGAAAATGAGTTTTTATTTCAATTATACAAACACATAAAATAAAATAAAAAATGAACATAGAATAAAAATGTTTTTGAAAAATGTAAATTTATTCAAAAATATTTAAGACCTTGTTAAAATTATATAACAGTTTAATAAACTTAATCGTTTAATAATCAAACTTTAATGAGAAATCATTATAATTTAATTAATCTCCTTTTTAATTAAATTAATGATTAGCTTTCATTAAATTGAAAATTAAACACGAAATTACTTGTAGCTGTTAAATGTAAAAAAATGTGCCAATTAAAGTACTTACCCAAGTAAAAGTGTCCAAGGAAAGTGGAAACATCTTAAACGCAGTAATTGTTATTTTCCTGTTAGCTCGTATTAAGAAAATATTAATACTGTTTTTAAAGGCTTTCGTTCGCGAAATCCATTCAGTGCAATAAGCGGCGAACACAAGTTCTTGACTCTAAATTATTGGTTAATATAAATTTTATCCAACTGCTGATAAACCTTAATAAAATAGATTAGAACGAAGCGTCGTTTTAGTCTTTTTTTTATTGGAGAGCTCAAGACAACCGTAAGGCGACTCTAACAACAGAGTGTTACTCTAACAACGCTCAGCTTTAAAAGTACTGTTTTCTTTTAGTTATATTTTAATTATTAAAATAAACTTACCTCATTACTAAGTATCGAACCCAAATATGCAGGGACAAAGATTTGTAATGTCATCGCAAATAGATATGATATCATGAAAATTAAACTCTCTCTTGAAGTATGCTAGAAAAATGTTAATTATTACATCTTAACAACCAATTACGCACAAAATTCATTAAAAACAACAAATAGTTAATAAAAAAATTAATTTAAAAAATTGCCTTAGAATATCAAGCACTCGTCTGTCAACGACTTAAATTCCTAAAGCAAAAATTGTTACTTACCAAAAGCATTCCGCACAAAATAGCACAAATAACAGCTGAAGCCATTCCGAATTGGACAAACAGGGATACGCTTAATATTTGCTGTATTTTATAACAGTAGCTAAAATTACCAAAAAAATGATTAAAACATTTTATTACATTAAAATAATTTACACTCCAGAATTGTTACAAATGGTAACCTTATTATTGCAACATAGTGTTTAAGAAGTCGCTTAAGTTTCAATATTTCTATATTTCGGGTACAACTTTTCGAAACTTTAAAATGTTTTAATTTATAATTCAAAACTCTTAGTTGTGTTATTGCCATAAAAATAAATCCCGCTATAAGTGTGTCGATATTCACGTTGTACGTCATATGACCGTACATACCGACAGATTGATATATGAACAAATAAATAAAATACTTTTGTACGTAATAGTCATTTAAAAAGAAATATTTACAAATCGGTAATTCTATTCTCGTATTAAATATAAAATACAATACAAGCGGTAAAAAAATTTGCGAGAAATAAGCAAAGTTTGATATCAGTGCGTAGATTCTCCAATACAATTTATATTTCGTAATATGAAGCTTTATTATAACACGACTTATGTCATCTTGACCTTGAAAAGCTTCGCAATCTAAATCGCTTAGCACATTTAAAATATCACTTCTCTTCATTAAAATCATTACAACTTTGCCTGTAACTGCAATTTCCGTAAAATAAAATACGACCTCCCGAATGAATATTTCAATTTTACGAGGCGTATAAACAAGGTTTAAAGTTAGAAGTAAATTATATACGAATAGAGAAATATACACAAATGATAAAGAATAATATCTGTAACATGTTCCATTTTTATTCAAAGGCCAAATGCCAAAAACGTTGAGGAATACGAAATTCAATTTAAAGCACCGTGAGATACGTGGCGTCATATTGAAATTCTCTATGATATTGTCACGTATAACTTCAAGTGCTTATGTTGTAACTTACAAAAAAAAAATTATCACAAATTCAACACACACTTGAAAAACATTTAATAACTCTTTTTCTGTAATAACTCCCTAGATTTTAATAGATGTGTTATTTAGGGCAATTACGTTTTTTTACAAATTACCGAGCTCCGCCTAAAATGTGTAATACAATTTAGTTTTAGTTTTTTTTATATGTTAAATGTCGGAATTTAAAACAGTCATTTTAAAATTAATTTTAATATAATCTTTTAAGTTAATCTAATGAAATAACAGGCCAACACAATGATAGAGTAATCTTTCGTTTGAAATTAGGACAGCAATTAAAATGAAAGTACCATAGCCTATATAAGTGAGTATTCTCTGTTACTCTGACAGTAGCTGTATAATAGATCACATTGTTTAATTGTTATGAAATGAAAGAAAAATAGGGTATTGTTATCATAAACAGGCTTCTCATTCATTTGTTGCCATATTTATCTTTAGACAATGCACTAAAACTATTCATCTTACGGAGCTCTTTACTATCCTTCATCTAAGAAATATACGCGATGCGGTATAATTTTAAACATAGCAATTTAGATTGAAAGCCAAAAGTATTTTCAGTTTTTTTTTCTAAACTAGTTATAGCGTATAAATGTTTATAACAATATAAATAGGTAACTCTTTGTTTTTTTTTTCCTGAATTGTATGATAAGGTACCTGAGGATTTTTTTCACCCTTACCTGAATAGAACACACGTTGCGTCGCATATCTTATGAGATTCATATAAGCGCACATGTTGAAGAGTGTAACTAATGTTAACGCGTAATCTTCTTTATAAAATCTAAATTTATTTAACATATGAACAAAAACGAGTTGGTCACTTTTCTTAAATTCCTAAACACAATATCTTTAATGTGTAATAAAAATAATCATATTAAACTTATGTATCTTTATGCATCGGTTTTAAATAATAAAATATGACTCATCTTGAGTTTTAATATTCTTTGCCGACTAATTGCTGTCCCTTTTATGCGTTTAAGGACGCTTCAAACTCGTTTATTCCACGTATTGTTACAATAAGCTTAGTAAATAAGGTTTAATGATGAAGTAAACTAACGTATAACTCTTAAAATAGTTTTATAAAACTTCTAATTCTGTAGATTTAGATGCGACAAGTGTGACCACATTATCAGTAGAGATTTATAGGACTTGAAAGTTTTTTAGGCTTTGTACAAACACATTAATTCTAAAAATATTACTGGATTAGTCTTTATAAAATCTGTGTAAAGTTTTAGCGTTACTTAAAATAAAAGATTGTCTTATTTAGTTTGTGATAAAACTGCTAAAGCGAGGCTATTAATCAACGAGTCAGTTCACTGTAACATTTGCTGCCTACACAATCTGAAGTGAATTTTAATGATTTCATTAAAATAGTATACAATGTTGCTCGCCATTGTCCCGTGAAATAATAAAGAATGAAAAGCATAGCCTGTTACAGACTGATAACGTAGCTTTTTAATGGTGAAAGAATTATAAAAATCGGTTTAGTACTCTTTGAGTTATTTCAATACATACAAAAATCTTTCCTCTTTTTATTTCTAAAATTATGATCAATTCGCATACCAATAAAATATTTGTATTTCTTTGTATTTGTAATTAATATTGCATGTGTAGAGATTATAAAATGATGAAGTTTCATCTAAATTGCCAAATATATTTTGGATATCAAAAAATGTGCTATGAAATTGATACTTTATGCAAAATAAACGTTTCAACGGCAGAATGTTTGCGATATTGAGATGTTAGAATGTTAGCAAACGCGGCGGACGTCCGCCGGCGTCGCATTGCTAATACGAGCTGCACGTAGCCGGGCTACCAGCATTACTCGATTCTTTGCTTTAAATAACTTTTTATAAAATCACAGCTAAATCTGAAAAGATAATATTCGTGAATACATTCATTATAATTTCAAGATAATCATCTTCATGGTCTTTTACTCGAAGTAGTTAAATTAAGATTTTAACTTTGATTCCATTATCATCAATCTTATTGCACCTTTAGATGTTATGCTAGTATGAATAACTGTATTGAAAAAAATGAAAACTCCGGTTTCACAATATAGCACATTTTAAAAGCGTGCGCACTAATTTGACTAAAACAATCGCAAAACTATTTAGTCGCCCTTTGATTCCTATGAGCTATGGAGGTCCGCACAATACACTAATTTTTGTTAACTAAACTTACTTACTGCCTTGGCGCAGCGACCCGAAGTGGGTCTTGGTCTCCGACACGAGAGCGCCAGAGTCGTCTGTCCTGCGTCGTCGCCCGCCAGCGAATCGACTCCAGCTCTGTGCAACTAAACAGTTTTTTTTTTAATTTTCTTCTCTTAGCAATGCAAAACATTTAAATCTAGTTTAAATTAAAAATCGCTAAATAAACCTCAATGGTTTTCACTAGCGTTTTAATGGATTGCGTAAATAAATATTGTTTCAGTTTATGTATTATGTTTTTGTGTTATACATTTTATTATATTGTTAAATTGGCTGCAAAACAATCGACAATCACATGACAGTTGTGCGATAGTTTAGTCAAATGTGTGACCTCTAATAATGATACAATATCAATAAAACAAGTTGTCAACAACAATAAAATTACAATATTAAAGTGAAAATATAGTCACAGTTAAACGTTTTTGTAATACCATTCGAACGAGTTGGAAATCCCAGGATGAATAATGTTTTTCAACCTTTTGTTGGATAGCCGTGTTCTGTAAGAGTCCTGTTTAGTATGCATTAATCAGGAGCGCGGTCAGCGACTTGATTGAAACCTAATCCTGCGGGACTCAGCGCCGCACCGGCTGATTGCCGCCCACACTGTTATGTCGTTCTTGTTACTACGAGCATTCAAAATGTAAATAGATGCGTGCTTTAAAATCTTTTTTTTTATTTATTTACACTTTGTACACAAGGAAAACAATATTTAAAAAATACATATTGAAAGTTAGTTGTACTGGTGAGCTTAACTCTAAAAGAGTTATCTTACTGCTAACCATGCGATAAGATTAGTTGTATAGCGGGTAATGAGAACGTACACAAATAAACATAAACAACCTTTTTGTCTATAGAAATATTTGTTACTTCTAATGTTATTTTTGACCGACTACCCAAAAGAACTCAAATCGTCTGTATTTTTTTATATATGTTACGGCATATCTGTCCCTGGTGGACGGATTTTGAAAATTCTTTTTTTGGTATCGTACCGTTTTGATCGATTTTTAACAGTGAGTGCTTCGATTGGTATTCATACGGCAGATTGTAAGAAAATGTTATGACGTACAAGAATACAGTGCAGTTAGTCTCTCCACTAAACTGAGTCCAAAATGGCATGTGAAAGTGTAAAGCAACATAGGGAACCAAACGGATTTTAAGATAATTTTAAACGATAGTCGACATCTTAATTTTAATTAATCCCATTAGAATTTCCCTCCACGACTGTTAATCGCAAATTTCATAGATTTCCCCGCACTTGCAGCTAATTGCGCCGGCACCTGTTCAATTGGCTCATTAGCGACTGAAACTGGATTCGACTATAACTACAACTATTAGTCGAATATATCCCTAACGAGTGTTATTTAATACTTGATTGAAGTCATTACTATAAAGTCATTACGTTATTAATTTCTAGATCACTCAAATTGCACTTAACAAATGTGTTAATTATAAAATGGAATCCTAACTTAACGGATGTCTTGGTGGCTTTTTTACGAATTGGCAAAAAATGTTTGGACTATAGTAAAATACGGCCGAAAATAACACTAAATCTAAATTTGGAAAGAAATGTGGGGAATAAATAATAAATACATGAGATTTTGTGCGTGACGCTCGTGCGTGACCCTTTATGTTGAATTTATTACTGGGGTGAAAAGAAAACCAATATTTCTATGGGAGTGTGCAATTGCGAAATATAAACCGCTTCCTTATACAATTCACTTCAAGTACAATTTGTACCGTATTTCATTGTAGAAGTGTATTACGAGTATTATCTAGTCATATCAAATTTAATTTTTTTTATTAGTTTGTAATGCGTTTCTACAAAGAGGAAAGATTTGTATTTTTTATTTATTAAAATAACTCAAAAACTATGGGACCGAACTCAAAAATTCTTGCACCATTAAAAAGCTACGTTACCAGTAAGTAACACATGTTACGTTTCTATTATTATTTTTTAATTTCACGTGGACGTAGTCCCGAGCAACAGCTAGCATGTGATATTCATTAACATTTAATTGAATTATTAAAAGTTAAAAACCTTTCAAAAAATTACAAACAAAATGCCTACAAAACTCGTTTCATAACTTATATAATTAGTACAATAAGAAAAGTCCTGTAATATTGGCGACTATCAACCCATGACTGACCATTATTCACAGACATTCGTCTTTTTTCCTGCCCTGACACGTCACGTGCGTCTGTAGAATTTTATTACATTATGACCTCCTATATTCGTTTATATTGCAAAAAGGGACCATACTTTAATTCTAGTACGATCGCCGACCACTGGACATAAGGTGAATGAACTTTATCTTAAGTCTGAACTCTATCAACATTTTTATCCGCACAATACAATAACAAGATTCTGATGTGTTAAAAAATTAGCTTTTGCTGGCAATTTTGTCTTCGTAAAATACTTATAAGTATATGGTTGATAGCTTTTGCTCACGACATCTTTCGCATAGAATTAAAAAAAAACTTGGCAAGTAGCACATGTGTTTTAAAAGTAAAAAAATATAACATGAATTAATAGGAAATTAAGTAAATTCAAATATTGTTGATTGCGCTTTCCGTAATTAATGGTAGCAGCTGTTGGGCTAAATCGTTCGCAAGGAAGCGGGAATCGACGATGCAATTAGAACTACTGCAGAAACATGTCAGTAATTAATAGTAAACTGTACTATAACCTATATTCACATAATTAATACTATTTACTATTTAAATTGTTAAATTAACACTTAACTGAAATGAGAAATTTTAAAATAACTTTATGACTAACATTATAAAATTTTAATTCAAAATGTTACTTTATTTAGCTTTTTTTTTGTCCAATGTATTTAAGTGAGTTAAAATTAAGTTAAAATCCAACAATTGGACTGACGTTTTCGTATTTGCAAAGCCTAGGATTTTTTTAAAGTTTTTAATTTTCCGGCTTGAACGCATTCAGTGCGCCGCTAAATGGCATGCAAGCGTTATTATGAATCTCATATTCAAGCACAACTTCGCAGTGCCTACGTAACTTTAACTGCTTACTATTGTAAAAGTTGTAATAATGGATTTAAATTTTGCCTATTTTTTGCGTTGCTATTATTTTTTTGCTTTAACAAATGATATGACATTTTACTAACATTGTAAATGCGAAAGTTTAGATGGATAGGTGTTTGTTACAGTTTGTAGCCTAAACTGCTGAACAGATCTCGATGAAATTTGGTGTAGATGTAGCGGATACTTTGGAAGAACAGATAGGCTATTCACATTTTTTTTAATTCCACGTAGACGGAGTCGCGGGTGAAAGCTAGTATTTAATAAATGTATTTTACTAAATTTGAAGTGAAAATGTAATTTTCTGATTGGTAATCCAAAAATGTCGTATCTTTTAATATAGATTAATAATTTTATTGACGCGTCCACGTGGAATTAAAATAAAAACGATACTCTATGTGTTCTTTCAGACTATTCTCTACATCTACATATCAAATTTCATCGAAATCCGTTCAGCTGTTTAGGCTACAAACTCTAACAAACATCCATCCATCCAAACTTTCGGATTTATAATATTAGTATGATACGAAGCACTGATCGTCTTAAATTTATCTGTTCGTGAAACTTTTTCAATATTATCACCGCAACTAATTCAACAAAATTGGCTTCCGTCGAACAGAGTTGAGCTTTGAAGTTATCAAAGTGATCACTCAGACGAGATCGGCCAGTCTTCATGAAAAATGCATTGTATAAATAAATCTGTATTCAACCGCACGAAAGCGATTAGCAAAAAAGTGCCTTCGAAAAGACGGCTAAAGAAAGTCACGGGAGACAACTCAGTAAAATGAGTTTTTTTGGACTGACCTTATTGTCAAAAGAACAAGAATGATTATTTTTTTAAGGAAAATAGACTTGGGAGATTCCATTAAAATGAACAGAAAACAACCTTATTCTTTGAGTTAGTTGTAGGTAGTTCGCACATAAATGTGTGCGAACTACACATAAAAAAAACTAAAAATAGTTGACTAAACTATCGCCTAATTGTTGTGCGATTCTCGATTGTTTCGGGGCCAATACACCAGTGTAGTTGCACAACTAAAAATCGAGTATATTTATATAAGGTTATAGGAATCAATGCGCGACTAAACGGTTATGCGATAGTTTAATTACAGGTGTGCGCGTGTTCATAGAGTAGTTAACGAAACCCCACTAGGACAACGTGGTTGATTTATGCCTAATTAGTAATGTAGCTTAGCTCGACCACTTCGGTCGGTCCGTTATAAACAACGACGTAATGATGGAAAGCAAAACAAAAATAAAACCAATTATTTCCAACAGTATACTGATATTGGTACTAAGTATCATGATTGTGTTGTAAACTTGAGATATAGCAGAGTCGTCTACAGATATTTACTGCCAAGGCATTGTTTTATGGCAGCAAATAAACGGTAGTTTACTATTGTTTAATTGCAGCGTAATAATAAAAATTCTCTATTGTTGTCGTAAGCAGTCTTCTCTTCATAATTGCTCGCTTGTGTTCCTTCGCAGAAATTTTTATCAACATAAGCGTTTTTCGATGCAAATTATCAAGTCAGTTGGACAAATCTATACTAATGTAAAGAGGAAAGATTTGTATTTTTGTATGTAATAAGATAACGCAAAAACTACAGGCATGATTTTAAAAATTCTTTCACCGTTAGAAAGGTAATTTATCTGTGAGTAACATAAGCTAATTTTTTTTAATTTCTCGCGGGCGAAGTCGCGAGCAACAGCTAGTTACGAATAAAAATAAGCAAAATGAATGTACTTAGTTATTTGGCTACAAAGGTAGAGGAAGAATGAATGAAAAAATGAAGAAGAATGTATAGATGGATTGTATGAAAGAGGATCTGCTTAAGGAGTGAATTCAGATATGACGTCTGAAAGAAATGTATGGAAGAGCTTTGTTAGTACAAGGGCAAGTTAATGATGATGAATTTACTTAGTTATTTGGTGCTTAACGAAGTTATGTTACTAATACTGCTGGATACAAGATACAATACATTGAACTTTTATTCTAATGTAAAAATGCAAACAAAGAATGTAACCAAACTGAAGTAGAAACCTCTGTGTATGTCGTAAATGTAGAGACATTTCAATAGTCTAATAAACAATATTTAATGATGACAATGGATACAATATAAAAGTACTTAATTTTGTGACAAAGTTAACAATTGGTACAAAGTACAGATAGCTTCAAGCGTTTATTTTTAACTTTTTTTTAACCAGGACAATTAAGAGTATTTATTTCGGTAATTGTTACTCGTTTAAACAGTAAAAAATGCGATTTAAATTTTATTTTTGTTAAATCATAATTATTACCAGAGTTAATAGTTGAAGTTACAAGATCCTTTTAGTATCTTTAAGCTTAGTATCTAAAAATTAATACTTCATTGAAGAAAACCAGTCTTGGTAAACTAATGCACCGTATAACATCTTCGTGTCCCTTAAGTTGTTTGTTGGTTTAGCACAAGTTTTGAGTTTCGAATAAATCCGCCGATAGTCATATGTTTAGTCGTCACACACTTAAAGATCTCATTTGATCTCTCAGTCTCCTACTAAAAAATGTATACTAAAATTTATTTGTATGTTTTAAAATATATACATTGACGATTCTCACTTCCATTTTAGAGTAGACTCGGCGTATCCTTATCTGTGAGGATTATTTCACAACAAAAGATGACGAAGTGCAGTGAGCGGTGAGCAGTGAATGGGAATGATGGATCTTGCTGCAGTAATGATGTCTGCAGGCTAGCGGCCATTGTTGCACATTCGCTGCACTCCGCAAAACTGCATTCCAGCTATAAATTGCTTGCCTGTCACACTATTAAATATGAACAAATGTAAATTTAATAGTTGGTACATTTCATTTCTTAAATTTATAAAAAGGCTTTATAGCCTTTTTATATTCAGATGTAGATAAGCTTCAATAGTGGTTTATCATGATTACAATTTGTACTTAGTTTTAAGTAAATCATCATCTCTCCTACCTTATCCTACTCCCGTACGATCGGCGCACCGAATTTTCATCCTCCAAACAATTCTATCACCCGTCATCTCAGTCATCACTCCCTTCTTGATCATGTCACCTTTCACGCAATCCATCCATCTCTTTCTAGGTCTACCTCTACCTAACTCTAAGGTCCTTCTTGTTACATGCGATTCTTGTAATCATTGAATTTTTTACTACCCGTGAATGTTTTTGTTATAAAAAGTAATAACCATGAATTTTATAGTGTACCTAGCTAGCTATTACCTTGTTACACAAGATAATAAAGATTGTAATCACATAGTAAAAGTTGATGGAAAACGCTTGTTAACGAAACATAGTGTACTTTGACACCAAGTGTACTATTTTGCAATTTTGTGCAATGAAATCTTCATAAAAATACTTTTTAATAACAGAATTTAAAATTAATAGAAGTTTAAATTATTTTCTACCAAATACCCAAGCTTCAATTGAATAGATTCACTTTCCTCCATAGAAAATTCTTCATGTAATTTCCATAACAAATTATACGTTAACTGTAGCCCGTAATAGGTATAAGTGGGACGCATGTAAAATGTAAATCTCGTTTATTCTAGTATGCAATTACAGTAATATCTCTGTTACTTTTTCTTCACCTTAATAATATGTTTCCGAATAATTTAACACTAGTCGGCTATCACAAGACTGCATTTTTCTTTCGAAAGAGTTGACAGTCATTTGTCATAAAAATGACAACCATATCAAAGTGTTTCACTAACAATGTATTGGCTTGGAAAATATTCGGAATTTGGTCAGGACCTAATCCGAATAAATATTACAAATACTTTTCTTTCATTTTTGTTAATTTGACTCTTACTATATTTAATTTGTTTCTGACGATAAATTTGTTCTACACCTATAATAATATTGAAAATTTATTGCATGAAGTCATTTATTTTTTTACGGAAATAACTGTTGTTGCTAAAGCTTCTATGATATTATTTTGGAAGAAAGAAATTATGATAGCATTTGATATTCTTGATTCCGATGACTTTGAAGGAAATGATGAAAAGTCCATAGAGATCATAGAAAAAGATGTATCGACGTATAAAAAGATTTTCAAGTTTTATTTCTATTTTTGTAATTTGTCATATATCTTAGCAATAGTACCGGGTTTTGTTGATTATTTGCTGGGAAATGATTCTGAATTCCCTATATCGAAATACAATTTCCTTGGTGATGAAATAAGAGAGCAATATTTTACGCTTTTGTATTTTTATCAAAGCTTTTGTATTTATGTGCATATGGTTTATAACATTTCTGTTGATTCGTTGATAACTGGGTTTGTTTTTTTGATAATCACACAATTAAAGGTTCTGAAATACAAATTTAAACGACTGAATTTTAAAAACCGTGCACTAAAACGAAGAAATGCTTCGGAAGTAAATTGTCAATCACAAAAGAATTTAAATCAATGTTTTAGACATTTTGACATTATTTTAAGGTGTTATTTATTGTTTTATTTAATTCATATATTTTCAAATAGCTTATTCATATAGTAATTTGTTCCAGGTATCGATGTATAGTGCAAGATATAACAAGTGTTACCTTATTCGTGGTATTTGGAATGGCGTCTGCAATTATTTGTGTCACATTGTGTGGATTTCATTTGGTTATTAATTATTTTAAGCATATTATTACATATTTCTTAAGTGTAATAAATACATTAGAACGCAACCGTTTGCCAGCGACATTGTGAGGAAAAAAATATTTTTTTTTAAAATATAGTCCATAAATTATTCCAGATAGATTTATCTGTGTGTCGAATTTCATCTGTTTAATCATTTTAGTCTTAAATGTAAAGAAACATCCATCCAAATTAACTTCTTTACAATGTTACTAAGTAGTAACTAGAATATTAGTGACAAGAATGGATAAAGTTAAGAATGTGTACATTAGAGGAAGTTTGAAAGTAGCGCCAGTGGTGGAGAAATTGAGAAGGAAAAGGTTAGCGTGGTATGGACATGTTATGCGACGAAATGATGGGGACATAAACCAGAAAGTGTTAAGATTGAATGTGGATGGCTACGATGGATGGATTGTGTGAAAGAGGATATGCTTAAGAAAGGAGTGGATTCAGATATGATGGCTGATATAGATGTATGGAAGAGCAGCACATACTGTGCCGACCCTCCGCAAGGCATAAAGGCAAGTGGATGATGAGTAACTAATATTTTTCAGGGGTCAACAGTTAACTCTTTGTTATTTCTTTTGACATATATTACGGCTATGGTCCTAATTATATTCGTACCTTCATGGTTGGGCACCCAGCTTATGTACGAGGTAAACTTTTGTTTTTGTCCATTATATTTTTAATGCGTGTGGATTTTATGTTATTTAAATTTCAGAGCAAAGATTTAGTTACTGCAGCCTACAATTCTGATTGGATGAACAGTTCTAAAGAGTTCAAAAGAAGCATAATAATTTTTATGGAACGGACTAAGACACCAATGTGTGTTGTCGGCATGAAAATGTTCCTGTTATCACTCGACACATTTATAACGGTAAACAGTTGGCGTTTGTTTTTTTTATCGTACTTTGATTTTAACTTTCATTTGTTTTAATTTAATTTGTTACAGATCATGAAAACGGCATACTCTTTGTATACTTTAATAAGTAGATTCAGGAATGTAACATAATAACAATGACTCTAATCTCTTCTTATATCAATTATTATTATTGCTTCTTGGAAATACAAATAACTGTAAATTAAACGATATACTTTGTAATGCTTGACATCGGATATTAACAGCGAGGAACTATCTGCAATGTGTTCGTACAGCTGAAACATCAACTAAAATACGTTGTTTTCCGGATTTTTATTGAAAATAAATTAAAAACATCTGGTTATTACCAATTATTAGTAGAAAATTTATATAAAACATGTTTTTATGTAATGTTTTTGCACTGCGAACCCCTAGTTATTATGACTGTGAATTCGTCTGTTGTTAAAACGATCTCCCGCGTGGAGAATCTTAATAAATATCTCAAGCTGTTTTATTGCCGATTGAAAATTAATTTCCTGTTATTTATAGCTTCTGTTTTTATATTTTCATATTCTAGTTTCCAATGTTGACATTGTATTATGAATTAATGTTAAAAAATTGTGTCAACTGGAATTTAACTACCTATCTTTATTATACCAAACACAATTTTGTTAAAATTGGTTTTATTACAATTTTCACCCTTTCATCCTCGCCTCCGTCCACGTGGACTTAGAAGAAAAAAACAAAAGTGAGTGGCATATGTGTTCTTCCAGACTATCCTCTACATCTATACCAAATTTCATCAGAATCCATTTCAGCCGTTTAGGCTACAAACTCTAACAAATATCCATCCATCTAAACTTTCGCATTTATAACATTAGTATGATTTTACTTTAAAAAAAGCTTAACTAACGTTAAGCGTTGTGTTTTTTTTTTAAATATTAACTGCTTTAAAATGTTATATAAAAAGATAATTTATGGTATTACTAGGGGATTTTATAAAACTTGATTATTATGAAGTAATAGACTTTTTCAATCGTATAATTTTATTTTAATTGCTTCATTAACAAACAAACCTTGCATTAGCATGCACAGCGGCACAAGTTTGGGAATAAGTCGAAATATTTTAGATCAACATAATTAACGAGGAATTGCAAAATTTCCTTTACTCGTTTCATTTAGTCGCCGCGATCTACGTCGCCGCGGTGTAATTAAGAAATAAAATGTTTCAGTAACAAACGTTGATTGCTATCATAAATATGTCGAAGGAAAGCTGCTGGATCTTGTTTTAAAAGGAAAAGGGTTGAGGGGTACAAATGTTTAATTTTGATTACGAATGTATGTTGTTGTTGTATGTTGCGACTTCATCCGCATGAAAATATAAAAAAAAATCATTTTACTGTTCACATTTGTCAAGTTATCAATTGCAAACGTCAGAATGATATGACATGATGTCAAACTATGGCAACCTTGCTTCCTTAATGTTGGCAACAACTTATGGTCTTCTATAAAAAAAGAGTTATTCGAAAATATGCTGTGACTGCTGACATCTTAGGCAACAAAGAAGAGTGTGTTTACGCTTTATTCTAATATATAGATGTATAGAATAGGATATAGATAGATAGATAGTATAGATTAAATGGAGGACATACTTCGCTTTTGTTTGGATTGTAGATCGATGATGTTTAAACTCAAAAAATAGAAAAAGCTCACCTCCCTCGCCACGTTACACAGTTTAACTTTCATACCTCGAACTTATTTACTACACTATACGCTATATATTACATAGGTAAAATTTAAGTTCCTATGTAGACGTATGTATTAGTAATTGACGGCAATTCCCCGATCGTTCGCTAATGAGACCGTGGAGCAGGTGTTGCGACCAATTAGCGAATACGTGAGGTTTAAACGTTTCTAAACGTTCCTACATACAGCAGTAGTATTAGAAAATTTACGACTATTACGTTAACGTACTAGTTTACGTGCTACACGTACGATGTAAAATGTTAGTGTTTTCATTTAAATTAATTATAATACAGCAGTTTGATTATCAACACAATTTAATTATAAACTACGTAAACACAATTAATACAGTAAAGAACATATGTGAGTAATTACATTTCAAATTTTCTAAGAGAATGGGAGAAGTCTCGTCTATTTCGGTGTAATTCGGACAAATAAAACTATCAATTGAGATGAATGGATTGCGTGAAAGGCGACGAGATGACGGAAGACAAATTAACACTGAAAACCAAAACCAGATGCGCATCCAATGTGAACAATAAGGACTGCAAGATGATGAACCACTATCAATGGGGAATATCTACAATACTTCAGATGTGTTTAGATAAAGAATAAAATAAGATAAATATTGTAATATCAGTAATGTAACTGAGCTATAGTGACTGGGAGTGAATACATTAGGCTGGTATCCATACTCGCGTTCTATTTTGCTCGCACACAAAAATAAAAGCGGCAATGTGGAGCACTTTGGCTGAAAGTTTTCAATAGCAGTTCAAACATCATATTATACGACATACAACGCTCTCCTTTTAGTCTGGGAATCGAGGCCAAGCCTTGTTCTTTAAGCGCCGTATTGACTTCTTTAAAAGCTTACTTGTTAAGCTTATATGTATGCTTATTTCATTTATCAAGAGCCTTTCAAAAAGCAAAACTTTCAACGTTGATTATTGTCATGTAAATATATTGTGTTTTGTTTTACAACTAAACTTAAATGGTTTTGTCTTAGCAACCTACGATTAAAGTTCCATTTGTTTCTACATATTTTCACGTCGTTTTTTTTTATAACATAAGGTGGCCAACGAGCAAGCGGCCACCTGAATCCGCCAAAATGGCGAAGCCACCGCTGCCCATAGACATCCCCAATTGCAGATGCGTTGCCTATCCGTATCCGACAGAGGAGGAGACGCACATAGAGATGATATTTCCCCTTCCTATGCTTCTCCTCCACCGTCAAATCCACTTCCTCTTCCCATTCTCACCTTATCAGAAAACGATAGTAAAGAGAAAGGGACTTAAATTAGACCTCCGGCACCACGCTCATCAGACGAAACACGGAATTGCTTCCATTTCACGCCTGTTTTCTGTATGGTCGTGGTATTCTGTATGGGCGTGCCGGCCCATTCGTGCTAAGATGTTAAAGCGGGCACTACCACTGTCAAAAATAATCAGAGATAAAAAACGGATTGTAGTATAAGATTCTCTTGATATAAATTGTCATACAATTATATTTTTATTATCACATGAGAATTGTACAACAAAGAGACGCCCCAACGCCAGTCTAGTTGCAAAAGTTCCCCACTGAACTTTGCCGACCAATTTACAGCATTTCCCTTTTAGAATAGAACCACATTTTAAGTCGTCTCCCAGTATGTTAAGCTACTTTAAGTGTATATGTTGTAAAATACAAAACTTCACCATTAACATACTTTAAGCCTCTCACTTAAAGTTATTACATCAAGTAAGCAACCAACACTTCTGCATTCAGAGTGCTATTGGTTAATTGAGTTCCTAAATGATTTGGAAAAATTATTAAACCTAGACCAAATGCAAGAGCAACTCGAAAAAATATCCGCCTCGAAGGATCAAAATGCTTTTTGATCTAATAGTTTAAAAAAAATAAACGTTTTTTTTAGTAACCAGATTGTAATTCTAAAAAAAACTAATATTTTGTACTTTTGTTAACATTTGTAACAATAATATTATAGAAAACTACAATATGCAATAACTTATCTTTTCTCTATAATTAAAATTGTTATCGATTTGACTTAAATTAAATTCCAAATGCAGCGAAAATTGTTTCCCGTATATCGAGTAATAAAAAGTAAAATATGGGACATGCACGAACTAGAGCAGTGCAATAATTTTACCCTGACGAGAAAATAAATAAAATTTCAGCGCAGTTCGCTTAAATTATCTACTGTGAATTATTCAACTACAAGGAAAAATAAAAACTAAATAAAAAGTTGCACAGATAATAATTTTTGAACAAATGCCAATAGAAAACAAAATATTTTACAATACAAATATTTTATCATATTGTAAAAATTACCCTTTAATTTTTTTAATTCATTTTTCTTTTATCTAACTACACTAAGACTAATGTTAAGAAGTTATGCCATCAAAACAATGACTACTTTACCAAATACTTAATGTATGGGATGAAAGAGTTTCATCGAAGGTCATTTGTCGCTTGTCCACCCCCGTTAGTAGAGTACTACATACTTCAATGTAGACAGGATGGCCAGACACAAAAAACATGCGTTAACCTGCATGCGTTTTGGTACCTTTTGTGGAAAACTTAATGAGGAGAAAGGTGTATTAAATGACTTTTAAATTAGATATTAAGCGCTTTTTAGTTGAGAATAAAGTTATTACTTTTAGAAAATTGCATAAGTAAAAGAGTTTTAAATTGACTTAAGCAAATATTAAATTAGTATTTATTATAATTTTATTTAATTACCAGTGTAATTAATTTTAATGTTTCCTTTTATAGGTGTTTATTAATTTTGTAATGTAATTTATTTTCGTAATAAATAGGAAAATAATTGTGTTAACAGCTGTGAACGCAATAAGAAATTACCCTATAATATTTATTATTTTCATTAAATTTTGGCACGTATTCGGTACCTCGGGAAATTTAAAAATTGCTGCAGCCCAACTTTTTGGCGTCCATTTAAGTGAAAATAAACATTTTTTGTAGTTACGAAGTGTATCTGATCTTACCCAACTAACAACTAATATGGTATAGTTAATTATATTCATTTGGAACTATGTATTGCCACGTTTTCTAAATAAAGTTTTTTTATTAAAAAAAGAGCACGTAATCGTTTTTCTATCCACCAAAGTTTTAATAAAATATTTACGTGCCAATTTACACCACGATTAGGTTTTGATATCCAAATTCAATTAGGATTTTACATTGGAAAATTCTTTGGCGCCTTAACAAATTTTTGTTGTTGAAATCGTTGATAGATGGCGTTTATCGTTATTATTTCAGAAACAAAATAGTCAATCTTCGTAGCTCTAGATGGCGCTTACATAAAACATTAAAATTTTTGAGACACTTACATTTTCTTTGCAATATTTTAGATTTATGTATAAATCGTACTTTAGCCTTAACCCTCTTTTCAATTGTTAAGAATACCTACCGGGA